TATTTATATTCCATTTAGAATATGAAATAAATATATTTGGATTGTAAAAAATTAAAGTATAAATAAAATAGTATAATTTTTAATGTGTTTTATGAAAAATACATTTGCAATTATAATCTTTTCTAATGGATGACAAAAACCTTTCATTATGAATTCTCTTGAAATCAATTGTAAGAAACAAAACTTAATTAATAATTTACAGAAAGATTTTGAATTAATAAGTATTGAATAATTTAAGAATACATCAAATATAAAAATAATTGTATCAAATTAGTTGTATCAATTTTAAAATAAAATATGTGTCCTACGTATGCCATTTATTTAATTCCTTAGTATTTCAATATCGCTATTTCTCTCTATAAGAATTAACGTATGAATGAATTTTTATCAATGTTTGAAGGATGACACGTTAACAGCATTCAAGATCTCTATCGAAAATTGTGAAGATTGTAAAGATGACTCGAGTGCTTTCACGGAGAATTTATCGCGAATTTACCAACTTAGGTGGCATTCTGGCGGCGCCTAATGGCATCCTCCAAAACGAATCCTCCAAACGTTTCTCACACGCGCGCATGCCGTGATATCGCCGAAATTCAGTTCCGTGCGGATCTTTCCTCGGATGCGCGACACAGACGCTGCCCTTAAAGCTGCCGGGGAAACGCGGCATTTAAATTTCCCTACTATTGTAGGAAGCTATTCCACACATACCGCGCGCTAGAATAAGCTCGCTTCGTTACCTCTCTCACGGTTATTGCAAAGGGCAAGGAGAGGCTTCTCTCATATGACGCATGCCGCTGCCGCTGCACTCACGTGACGATATTAACATTGCGCCTCGCGATATTATATTAATCTAGAGTATATATGCGTCCCGGAACATATACGACCCCCGTGGGACGGAAGACCGTCGTGGTGGTTCTGGAAGCTCGTAAAAATTCTACGTGAACCTTTCCCGTTCCATAACAGCGCCATGCGCGAGATCGTTTGAAGTATACGATTACTTTTGTACCGCGATAGCATTTCGTATTCCCGGAATTTATATCGTTCAAATGTGGAAATTCGATTCGCATAAAGCTTCGGTAAATATCAGGATAATCGCCGGTCATATGCGGACAATCGTTACTTTTCACACACTTCTCACGATTCGTATAATAATGCGTAAGCTGCACATATATGTATCATTAATCACACTTGTATAACTGCTCTTAGCTAGTAGTAAATTGATTACGAAAAGATATTCTGCCATTAATCGATTCATAGAAAATAAATATATGTACGTATTAGGAAACTAAAAGCGAATAAAATTAAGAGTTGAGAATTCTTTTGTACTTTATAAAAGAAAACATTATTAAAAGGGAAGATCGAAGTGTCAAATAACAATCTCAGTGGAATCTGTGTTTGTCAAGCAGAAAACCCATCTCCAATTTCATTCTGACTATTGGCAAAGGAAAAACTGCTGAAGGATCTTTTTCTTATGCTTTCATCGTCGAGCACCGCTATGGTAAATGAGACCGACACACACACACACACACACACACACACACACACACACACACCGAGCCTATAACTTGCCTACAACGAAAACATAAACAAAACATGTATGATGTACGTAATAATTCGATATCAGACTGTGAATTTAAACTATTATTCTGTCTATTATTCTGTCTAATGAAAAACATCTCTGAAATCAAACGCTTTTGTAAATGACGCTCACACTCTAATACCTTAACATCACTCCATGCAAATTCGTGAACGTAATCTATTCTGTGTTCGGTAATCATGGAATGCGTTTTTGTATTTCTACGTATGATTTTGATGTTCCTGAAGTCTCATTTTTAACTGTTCATACTTAAATTAAGTAATTATATTTACAATTGTACATATAATATTTTCACATGTACATAAATGAAATTGCTCTATAATATTTTAAAAAATAATAATGCCCACCTAAACATTTACGTATTTAAAAAAAATCTTGAATGTTCATCTCTGTCAATATTACATTTGTACTAGAATATTTCTATAATTTTTATCATATCGCGTTTTACAGCACGTGTACAGATGAAGTTTTTATTACGTTTCTTCCTCGTAAGCAATCGCACGCACGCACGCACGTACGCACGCACATAGCTTCCATATAAACTTTTATTTTACGCGCTCGAAACTGAACACGAAAGCACGTAGGATATGTTGATTTCAGCAACGCTATTTCTCTCGCCGTTTCTCTTCCCTTTTTCGGTCGTATTCAAATGAATATTGCAGTTTCGTAGGAGCGCGCTCGCATATAAAAGTGCGGGGACTTGTTTGGAGCAACCAATAAATTATATCTGGTGTCATAAAAACTTTCAAGCATACCCGATGCAAATACTTGCGGTTCGTTCTCTTATTCTTCCCAGCAATCAGGGTGATTGATAAAAGCTTTTCACTTGCGCTAATCAGTATTTTATATACACAATAAAATACACGTACGTTTTATGTATTATCTAAACTTATAAATAATTCGATGAAACGAAAAGTCTCATATAAATACATTAATATTACAACTCATTTGCCCATATAATAAACAGGTTCTTAAATCTGCTTTGCTATTAATTATTCTTTTATTTAATATCCTTTATACTTTATTGGCGTTGCAAATGGCGCTATAAACATAAAGGTAGTTGCGGGTTATCGTGAAAATTGAAACGAACGCGGTTATCTCACTTCGTGTAACGAATGTCAGTTGTCGCCTGTCGGAGGCTCGCTTTATCGATAAAAAGTGTCACGAGGAGCCGACGATTTACGACCAAGATTGATATCTGTGAAACAAATGGTATAACGGCAGACTGATTCGCCAGAAAGATTCGCCATGAAGCCCGTAATCATCCCGTTGCACCAAATTCTAACTAATCTCATATAATATTCAATACTAATGTGACAGACACATGTGACAGAAAAGCTTGCGAAATGTCAACGTCTTTGATTAAAGACGGAAGGAATGTGTTTTAATGATTAATGATTAATTTACACAATAAAAAAAATTTAGTTTTGTAAATTCTCAATATTTTTATTTTATATGTATATATATATATATCGTACAATTTCTAATAATAGCAATTTTTGGATATACGTGTATATTTTTACTTTTCTTAATTTCGCACAAGAAAATTTTCTGATTTTCGCTTTGTCATAGTTATTATATCTAGATCTGTAGATCTTAGTATCTTAGTTTAATCATTTTCGTT